TATTATCTATGCCTTTATTTTTATTAAGTTAAACTAGTGGTCTCGTCCCAAGAAATGTTTTTATTGTTAGTATAGATTTCTGAGAGATGAGATATTTTCCCGTAGTAAAAAGTATCTCATATGTTGACCAGGATAAGCAGCTATCATCATGCCAAATTTCATCAAAATCCGTCCAGTGCTTTTCTCGTGATGCGTTTCCAGACATACAGACAGACAAAAATTGTAACAACTATAGATCCGTCCTCTGTATCGATAATAATGACTATTTCAATAAGATTTTCCAAAAAAAAATTATTTACAAATTCGACTCCATTAAAATTTTATTTTATGTATAGATTTAAATAATAAAGGGTGGCCCAAAATAACGTTGACAAGTGATTTTTCAAATAATTTTATTGACTTTAAACTTAAATGAAATTCTGCTATAAATTATGAAAATACAACTTATTTTTTACAAGAATCCCTATTTGTCTTTAAAATAACCTCCTTTAGCGCGAATGCATAGAGTCAAACGCTTGGTAAAATTTTCCACAATTTTCCGCACTTCCTCAACAGATATTTTGTCCCACTCCCGTGTAAGAGTAGCCTTCAGGTCATCAACAGTTCTATGAGGCGTAGAACAGGTCCTTGCCTCTAATATTGACCATGAACTGTGATCCATTGGATTCAGATCAGGCGATTAGGGTGGCCATTCTTTTGAGCTGATGAAATCAAGGAAATTGCTTTCGCACCACTGTTGAACACTTAAAGCTCTGTGAGCTGGAGCAGAGTCTTGTTGAAATATCCATGAATGGTTACCAAAGTGCTGTTGACTCCAAGGAATAACCACAGATTCAAGGATGTCTCGTCGGTAATTTTCTTGGTTAATATTTATACCATTTTCTACAAAAACGAGGGGAGTTTTGCCAGTGGCGCAAATTGCACCCCAAACCATGATTGATTTTGCGTTTTGGCGACGTGGAGTGACTGCGGCAGCTCCAGAACGAGTGGAAAACCAGATCCTGTCATTTTGGTGATTATGGGCTTGTTCTATCGAAAACAATTCTTCGTCGGAGAATACGATATTTTTCCAATTCGAAGCAGTGGAGCGTTGTTTAAGCAAACGACATCTCTCAAGGCAAACTTTTTTGTCTTTCTCTGTAAGCAATTGCGCTTTTCTGAATTTATATGGTATCAATTGGAGATCATATTTCACTATACGCTGCACGGTGGAGCGACTTATCCCCAAGTCTCGCGACATTTTTCTCACTTTGATACGTGGATTTCGGACTAATCTTTGTTTGATAATGTGTTGGTTCCTAGCAGTTCGAACAGTCCGCTTGCGTCCTCTCCCAGGACGGTCTCCACTGTTGCCGAGCTCAACATAGCGTTTAATTGCTGAAGAAACTAGCTGACGACTAACACCAAGAATGTTTACTATCTCACACTGCCGTTTTCCACGCTCATACAATGAAATTATGGCTACACGCTGCTCTGACATAACGTAATAAATATATTTTAAAACTTTTTAGCCAATAAACAATATTAAACTGGCGCCAAAGAATGAAGAAAGAATAAACAAAATCAAAAGAGAACGCAAGGCATTCCATTTTTAAAATATTATTGTTTTAATTTTGTCAACGTTATTTTGGACCACGGTGTATTACTATCTTAACGAGATTTTCACTGTCACATAGAGAAATCCGTTACTTGAATAAATCGCTTTATTAAAATTTATAATTGCTTATGAAATGTATACTAAATATGAATGGACTACCAAAATTATCGTATTTTTTCCTTTAAAGGTACTGTCGCTTTTTACGGCTAACATTGATCTTAAAATTTTAAGCATGGGTCCATAACATTTGAAAGCTTTCATCGAACTTAAAACTTTTCTAGACTAATAACGGAATAGTCGAAGAACCTTCAGAAAGCATTGTGAATTCTTTAACGCGACATTTACTATCTCATGTCTCTTAAAAAACTAAGCGTACTTGTAATAATAGTGTAAGAGCTAGCATTTCAAACTAAAACTTCTTAATAATATAATTAACATAAAATTAAGTAATAGGCTTAGCTAATGAAGAATAATTTCAAATTAGTCTTAAATCAATAATTTTCAACTTGAAGTATAATACGCTTTGTGTTACGCCCTTTCTTTAACATTGGGCACGGGCTTCCGTTCAATGTAAGGGGGATCACGCCATAGTCCACTACGCTGGCCAAGTGTGGATTGGCGGACTTCAAATGTCTTTCGAAAATTTTCTAGGTTTTCTCAGATATGCAGGTTCTCTCAGATATGCAGGTTTCCTCACGATGTTTTACTTTACCGTAAGATAAGTGGTAATCATGTTGAAAATGATTCACACATAAAAATATCAGAGATGCGAGATCCGGGATTCAAACCCACTTCAGTCGGTCACTCAAACGAGCTCGTTACCGTATCGTACCAAGTAATTCATACAAAATTCTTATCTACTCAATATGTGTTATATAAATGATGTTAAAACATTAATATACATAGTTAATGTCTTAAGAAAACGACTCAATATTAAATTTTTGCCAGTTAAAGTAAACAATTTAGACACTAACAGAAAATCGACACCAGCTCTTAGATTACACAATAACAAGAAGTTACTATTTTAATGAGCGGTCCAACTCTTCGCTTAAGCGTAACATCATCTTTTATTATCCTGTAATTTCCACGAAAAGGTCATATGGAGTACTTAACTAGAACTATATTTCGGTATTTAGTCCCTTTAGGCAAAACAAGTGTAATTAATGGTCATTTGGTGTAATGTAAAATCTAATTTAAAGTTTTCTTCATTTAAATCGAGTTTGCCGCGTGTAATGCTTAGCCCTTATGAAGTCCAGCTTTTGGAATTCGCTTTGACAAATTTTATTAAAGCAAAAATATGAAATTTATTTGCCATTTAATAAACATGAAATCTGTGGAAAGTTACCAATGATGTAGATTGTAGGTAATAACCACGTTCTATTTAATTATATATATATATATTGAAAATATCTAGTCTACTTTAATGAAATAAAAATGTATTTTATTTAAATTGTTATTTCATTACATACAATTTAGTATTAGAGACTAACATTTAAAATATTTATTCAAACTGCTCTTTACAAGGCACAAGGTATGTTAACGCTACAAGCTCTCTCTCGACTCTGGCATTTCGTTTGCTTAAGGCGTTAATGTTTTGAATAACTTATGATAATTATTTTATTATACGGATTTTATAATCATATTTTCGCTTTACACTCATATATATCATCAATTACAAAATTTTATAAAATGTTAATATCTACTAGCAGAACCCACGGCTACGCCCGCGTTCAAACTACAAAAAAACTCTTTGGCTTTATGTTATCCTCTCCTATTTTACCCTCCTAGGGGTTGAGTTTTAGAAAACGCTGAAATACGTAACTCATTATTTTTGCCGTACTCAATTCATACGAAATTTCATGTAAATATGTCCCAGGAATAAAAAGTTTCATACAAACTTTTATCCCCTATTTCACCCCCTTGAGGTTTGAATTTTGAAAAATCCTTTCTTAGTTGATGCCTTCGTCATATGAGGAATACGTATGCGAAATTGCAATTTTCTAGCCTTAAGGGTTTGGCCTGTGCGTTGATATATCAGTCAATCCCTTTTGCCTTTTATATAAATAGATTTTATATAAAATAATTTCATCTAAACTAATATTATAAACAGGCAGAATTTGTTTGTTTGTTTGAACGCGTTAATCTCAGGAACTACTAATCTGATTTGAAAAATTATTATTACATTAGATAGCCCGTTTATTGAGGAAGGCTATAGGCTATATGTGTTATATAATATATAGTCAATCTATTCCAAACTAACTGTTAAAACGTACCTAAGCTTTAGCGAAGCGACGCTGAGTCGCTAGTTTATTATGTGATTGTTGTCACTCACTGCACTTTTATTAGATGAGAACTGAAATAAAATTGCACCCCAAGAACTTTTTTTCTTTTCATAGGGACAATACTTAATAAAATAGAGTTAAGCCACAGAACAAAAATTTAATCAAAGTGTTAAAATTATAATTAGTAGCTTGAAATTTTCAAATTTTCTTAATCAAATACTCGTTAAAACTTAGCCACCTATTACCTGTGCGTGTCTAAGCATCAATTATAATGTTTTCATACAAAAGACTTTCTTATTAACGTTTATACACAAACACGCTCTGTTATTCATAATTCAGTATTTTGGGCAATAAACTTTACAAGTTATGGCTCTACGCTGTGCCATTGCCCTATGATAACCTTTTTAGGCTAATTTCTCTTTTGCTCGAATATTTCCTTAACTTAAGCTCTCCTTTGTTCTAATTTACAATAAAATTATTGTAAAAATCGTAGAACATAGTATGTGTTATGGTTTTGTATTATTAGATTTCTTCAAATATTTCCTTCTTTAATGGTTAAGCTTTCTGGTAGTAATAAAGAGAGGTGATTTTTTGGCATAAAAGTTCAATTCAATTCAATTTTCTTATCGATAGTTTGAACGCGAAGTTGAGCACAGATTACTTCGCCAATGTCACGTAGGATGGAGAAGACACGAAGAAGATTGGTCGGTAAGACATAAAAATAATTAATTATCCGAAACGTGATATTAACGTATTGTTATACAGATATTAAAATCATTTCCCAAGGAGGCTTCATGTCAGGCAGGCGGCCGGTCGTAAAACTTTTGCCAAAGCCTTTAAGCAGTACGGAAGATGTACTGCAAGTAATTGGAAATTGGACAGACAGATGATGCTGATGATTAAAATCACTTTTAAGTTTAAAAAGCATGGAATACCATCCATTTTTCTTATTATATGGAAACAAGATAAAACCTATTAATTAACAAAAGTAATTTTAGTACATCTAGTAATTTTCAATGGAGTCTTCTTTGAGCTCTACGAATAATAGGCGATTAGATTTGAGCGTTGATTTGGCTTTAATGATATTCCTAAAATCTATATAATAAATCCACACGATTGCGATGTGGCACTTCAAACAAACAAACATTACACAATTTTTGAAGAGAAAACTATCTCGGAGAAGCAAGCACGATGTTTCGGACGAGAGCGAGCGGATGGCGTCATCGGACTGGCGACGTCTTATTGACCTTGCGTGCCGGGAATCGGAAAGTGAACCGAAGGTTCCATCTGAATGGCGCCAAATTGGCGACAGACTGGCTTCTCTTAAGGCGGCGGACCCAAGACCATGGCAAGCACGATGTAGCAAGTCAAGGCCTTATCGGGATCGGCTTTTAACTTTGGTTTATGTAATTTTCATTATAAAAAAAAATCAAAAAAAGAAGGGAAATGAAAAAGGTCAACAAAGGATATGGTGTTAAAAAATCACATAAATCGTATAAGGTATTTTTTTCTGGAATTTATCAGAAAAGCCGAAAACGGCCAAAAGTGCTCCCAAAACTACACAAGCCAAGCCAAAAGCCACATGTTTGAATTTGTGATAGCTTGTCGAGGCTTGGCAAGCATATTATATATGGCTCCAGCACAGCAGCCTAAAATTTGCCACTTACAAATTTTCCATAAAAATTGTAAGTTTAGCTATAAAATATAATGTTTAAATATTTAATGTAACTAAAACAAAGTAAGTAGTTTTCGAAAGACATGACGTTTGCCAACTTGCATTTGACCGGCGTGGTGAACTATATCCTGATCCCCTTCCCAATAACGGAAGGCCTCTACTAAATAGTGGGACGTTAACCAAAGACAGGTTATTAATATTAATAAAAAGTTTACAAGTTATATATATAAAAGTATAGCATAAAATATTTAAAACAACAAACACATATACAATATAGACTATACTAAATCTAACTTAATTCCATTCAATATCACCATCTGAAACACAAAAGGATAACCTTTTAATAAAATAAACATTCAGCACGCGTCATGTCGCCAAATGTACAAAATTTCTCACCCACGCCCGCAATACCGTTCCATTTAATGTTGGCTGGAACAACTAATACGTGTTACACCTTAATGCCTCATTGACACGAACAGAACGAAGGCTTTTGGTTTTATTTACACTAGCGACCCGCCCCCGAATTCCCCAAGCCTCTATTCTTCTAAAAATTTAAGACCTTTCATTCGATTACTCTACACTTACTTCTGTCTACAACTTTACTGTATTTATATTTTATTTAGAACTGCTCAATATAACTTCCGATTGAAAAGCTCAAGCTTTTTATAGCTTTTTTATGTTGTCTTTACTTATTTTATCAAAAAAACGATTTGACGACCCACACACATACACACATACATATACAAACACATACGCAGTACACACACAGTAATTGGTCTCCGTCGGAAATGAATACAATATGTAACCTGCTGAAATCTTGTGACGCGTTGCCTTCTTATAAGATACTTGTGCAATGTATGTATGTACGACTATATAGTACACACTACACTTAGAATGCTACAAATCAAACTTGAAGGTCACATCTTGCTGATAAAATAGATTGCTATATAAGAACATTTATGGAGCGATATTAAAATATTTAAATTTACTATTATTACATGTACATACTCGTATATTTTAGACTACACAAAGGCATTATATAGTTGTTACAGACATTGCCTACTCACAAAATTATAAAATGAAAATAATATTTTTCATTAATAATAATAATCGCCCTTTTTTAATAATAGTAACATGAATAAAGTAATGGCCGACTAGTCGGTGCTTCAAGCCGACTAGTCGTCGACTAGTAGCCAAATATTAATATCCTGCAATCGGCTTTCCCGCCTAATCGGCCACTAGTCGATACATCTCTATAACTCCAAATATCCAATAAAAAAACCACATTGATGCTGTTTAAACGAGCCTAAGCTCGATATCTCTGCAGTATTTTAGTTAAGAGTTCAGTATCTTGCAGATTCCAAGTGACGCTGCGCCATCAAGCCAAGGTCACCATATCATGCAATGTCATTAATGTACAGGGTACCAAGTTTCGAAGCGATTAGATCTATGGAAGTTGCTCATATTGTTATACCGTTCTAGAAAAGAGCTGATGGTCTATAATTTGTATAATAATAAAGAATTATAATATTAACATCTAATTACTATGGATTATATATTGATCTCAAAATAAATAGTTATTATTATTATTATTATAAACAGAAAACAGATTTTCTTGATTTATAGCTAAGAACACTTTCGATAAAATCACCTCTCAAACAAAAAAAAAACAAATTAAGATCGCTTCATCCATTTGGTTCATCTGCTACGATGTCACAGACAGTCATACAAATGCATACCTCTCTTTGCTTCAGGGATAAATATTAAATATTTAAAGGTCAGTAACCGTTTGAATAGTCTTATACAGAACATTTTTAACTGCTGTTAAACGAGGAGTTGGCATGTTTAAAGTAGTTAAACAAATAAAGAGTTTCAAATAGGTGCTTAAAAATGTAAACTGACGAGTCTAGTTGTACAGCAATCGTTTAATACAAAAAAAATAAAAAAAAATTACAATGTAATATATATTTTTATCGGGTTTGTAACAATTCACAGTGATTCGAACTTTAAAAAGAAGGAGGTACTCAAGCAGGGTGTATGTCTTCATCAGTAAATGTTAAACGATTTCAAGTCCTTTATTTTAAACTAGTTTTTGCCGTGGCTGCGATCGTGTGAGCGGGAAAGAAAAGCTATGTCCGTCTGGTACAATCTATGCTCTGCCAAATTTTATTGAAATCTGTAGCATGAACAGCATTTTCTTGAAATTATAAGAAAAATTCCGCCCCTAAAAATTGAGTAATTTCTATTAAAATAAATTCTATAAATTTTTTGAAGTTGATGTAAAGTTATATAAATATGCCTAATATTGAGTAAAAGATTTCTCTAAGAACTACAAGCTTCCTTTTCAACAATCTTAATATGTCTATAATACAATCGCCTATTAACAATTTACTCAATAATCAATATACCATTATGTTTGATTGCTAAAGTTCGGTAAAGTTAGTTGCTAACTTAACAACAATGGCGTAATCTATACATATATTATATATAGGTAATAAAATTCTAACTGAGCCGAATCTGTACATTAAATATTTTTTGTAAAATCTTATTGAAATATACATTATTATCGATACAGAGGCCCAATCTATAGTTTTATGAATTTTTGTCTCTGTCTGTCTGTTACCGCATCACAGAAAAACCACTGGAGGGATTTTGATGAAATTTGGTATGGTGATAGCTGGTTATCCGGGTCAACATATAGAATACTTTTTACCGCGGGAAAATGTCTCATTTCTGAGAAAAAATACAAAAACTGCAATGTAAGAGTATACTAATATGTAAAACCTAAGAATTTGGTTTTTGGTCATGTGAACGCGGGCGGAGCCGCGGGCAATACTAGTGCACTAATATATTTTAAATCTTAGACTTAAATTGTTTAAATGGCAAGCTCAAAATGGATTGTGGAATTCTATTATACATGCGTACACCTAGTCCCATAAACGATCTATTTACTTTTTGAAGGCGAAAGCTAGGCGTAACCAGTTTATCCTTATTTCTAATGTTTATTTCGTGTCTATCACTGTGTCTTAAATAGCAATGAATGTTTTGTTGAACAAACATAATATTACAATATATAATATATTGCAATGCAACCGTAAGCAAGTTACGCCAATTTTCTTCAAAGGAAAACTCGTAGGGTGTCCTGAGCCCCAATGTTATAAATTGCCCGAATAGACTTTTTTTTGGAGAATAAATATAGGTTTAATATCCGCTGCATTACCCCACAACAAAATTCCGTAAGTCAAGATGCTGTAAAAATAGCTAAAATCTTATTATTCATATAAGTATCAACATCTGTAAGCTGCCTGATTTGAATAATTATTATTTTAAACAAAAACAAATACACGTATCATAAAAATGGAATATCATTACCTATTAATCAAATTAAAAAAAAACATAGTTTTATGTCTTAATCATCTTTACAACTTAATATTCGAGTCTTCCCAGTAAGTGATCCGAGGAATTACTTGTGTTGGGAATGACCCGCTTCTTCCCATATGCATTCTCTGGATACTTTTTTAAAACTAAATAATGCTAATATATATAACTTAAAAACATAATATAATAATAATTTAAAAAATATAATGATCGTAAAAAAAATAAAAATGTGAAGACTATATAACACTAAAACAATTTCACCCCATTTTATAAAGTACTAAACACTAGCAACAACGAAAAAGTAAATAAAAATCTCGTACCTAATCATTTAATAAGTTAATTGTTCGTAAAAAAACATGTTACAGTTAAAACGAGGGATTAGAATTTCCAAATATTTACCAACTTTGAACTTGTATCGCTTACACAGAAATCACGTGTAAAACGAAACTTCGACAATAAATCACAGTGTTAGCTTCGAACTACTTTTAAAACCTCTTGAGTGTACGAACTACAAAGATTCCAATCTCCATTAAGCTAGGGTCTACTTAGGTAGCGGCTACACTCGAACTTGAACCGTGTTCACATAACAACACTTGGTAATGAGATCTCGCTCGTTAGCTTCCGCAAAGCCCGGGCAAATGCAGCGTTCCAAACGCAGCGTTTAAACACTGTTTAAATATTTTAAACTAACTTTTCCCGCGGCTACTCTCGGCTAGACTATATGTATACCTTATAAGTCTTTAAACTTTCATGTTTACTGATAATATTTTTATGATGTTTAGTGGGATATTTACCATGTTTTACTTTTGTTTTTGTCATGGGTATAGTACTAATTATTTTGCGGGTGGATGTAAAACTTTTTATTGGCAGACTACCCTTTTTCTAGTTCGTTTCGTACGTCCGTTACCACTACTAAGTTAAATGTAAGTAGTAAATATGGTAAAAGTACCGTTTTACATCATAATAATATCGTACCGTGATGTTAGCCTTATAACCTTCCTCAAGAATTGGGCTATAAAATACAAAAAAGATTATTTAAATCCGACTGATAGTTCCAGAGATACTCGCGTTCAAAAAAACCCAAAGAAACCTTAATTTTCATTATATTAATAAAGTAAAGATTAATATCGTTCATTAATCAAAATTTTCTGCTATAAATAGTAAGATTTCAGATTCTCTATCATAATATATTTAAATATAATATATATAAATTTATAAATTACTAGCGACTCACCCTCGCTTTGCTCGGGTTCGGAACTAGGTTGGTTCCCCTTTTAAACTTTCATCCTCATTTACCCCCCCCCCCCCCCCATAAGGGATGATTTCTGGAATAAAAAGTATCCTATGTCCTTTCCAGGGTTTCAAAATATCTTTTTACTGAATTTCATCTAAATTGGTTTAGTAGTTTTTGAGTTTATTCGT